TACGCTCCCAGTTCAATATAACTCATACAAAATGATGATTCTAGTCAACTGGGGGGCGAGGAAACTGCAATCGCATATCTTTCATCTAGGTAGTTTGTTTAGATGCATCCTATCAATCAAATATTAGCATCAATAAAGTACTGGCATTGAAGACTATTTTCAGATGTAAGATAGATAACAAACATTTCTTGACGCTATTTTCAGATGTTTACTTTCAGATAATTCAATCTGCGTAAGATGTTATATATATTAATTGCGACACAGTGTTTAATAATAATAATACGACGTATAATAAATAGGGTTAAGTAAAATAGTCGTGGACGCTCACCCACGCCATGGGCTAAGACGCTGTGAAGAAATGGAGAAAACCTAAACCTCCACCCGACTGAACACCACAGTAAATAAGGTTGCAAAGCTCCACGGGGTAGAGGATTGGGTTAGGCTGGGCAACAGTGGGAGTGACAGTTTTGGTATCGCAAGTTAGCCTACCATTAGGCATCATCGCTTACCATCAGGCGAGCCATAATTTGCTTATTTGCCACTCTCTTAACATACCTTTTTCTTTACACATGCAAAACCTCTATTTACAGACACTGGCTACCTTAAGGGCACACCAGCGAACCTCACACGTAGCATCTCGCAAGTCTCACACGTAGCATCTCGCAAGTCTCACGGGTGCGAAACGGAGAAGCCGTTAAGCAGTCCGCTCGGTTTGCGAGCGCTTGCGGCATACTATATGCTAAAAACACTGCGAATACCCTTTTCCCCAACTTGAGGGACTTCAACATGTCACCAGATCTGACAGCCTCCCGGCCTAGCCGGGGCTCCACGGCAGGGATAACCGGGGTATCTCGGATGATCCCGCAGACGTGCGCAGGAAGGCCAGCGCTGGGAGCTAAGTACGCAGTCTACTGCAAACCGTACCGCTCCCCTTCCGCTGCGGAAGGACTGCCTGGGTGTTCCCCTCCTTAACATACCTAAAGAAAATTTAGAGTCCTTGAACTTCAACTGTACCTCTGTGCAGGTGCTGATAGGACTATTATTAACCTCATTCTGCCACGAATCTTGCAGTCAAAAGACACGAAACGCAGGAGAAGGTAGAAAAGTTTTACCTAAGGGTATCCAAGTGTTATTTGGCACCGCGTGACATTCTTGCTTATTTTTATCGAGTAACGTAACGTAAAAAACCAATCCTTTATGAGTATTATTTTATCTTTTTGCATTGATGTTAACTCATCTCCTGTGTATCTACATGATACGTAGTTCATACACTAATCGACACACCTATGTTTATGTCAGATAGTTAAAAAATTTAAACTTATCTAATCTTACCAGTCAAAACTAACTTAGTATACCCACATGATCGGCTACGTAGTTACGTACCTAAGTTTTTTGGGGGTACATTGACTTTTTATACCCCATGTACTGTACCCATGGCACTATAAAAAAAAAGAAAAAAAATCAGAAAAATGGGCATTCATACAGATTCATACCCTGTACGTAGTTAAATGTACAGGATCTTGAGTCAAAAAAAACCGGCATGATTCTTACTAATTTCAAATTTTTTAGCCTTTTCTTTTATGAAAGTAACATGTGAGCAAAAATACTAGTCTTATGGTCTTATGGTACCTAAGTAGTTCTATGTCTTCTATGGACGAAATAGAAAAAATAAGGCCTAATCGTGAGACCGTACTTTGCAAAAAGAATAGTAATAAAGTTTTTCTTTCACGATTTTTTTACTAAGAGGGTTTTTAATTTTAGACGGTTCATGGTTCGGATCTTTCAAGGATCTTATGAGATTTTTACGCTTCTACGCATTTTTTTGTCATTTGGCCGATTTCATGATGTATGAGATTAAGTAAGATCAAAAACAGTCTACTGGTCTGGTGTATTGGATTTACTTACATTAAATTAAAACTATTATTAAATGTTTAAAGATGTTTCAACGATTCTGTTACTACTTCTACCGTCTGAAATATTAGGTGGGATAAACTTGGTACAATATAAAACGTAGAAAACGAGATTCAAATGAAGTGCAAGCAAGCTGTGAAATGTAGGAGCCATGTTTTTGCAATGGTACAGGTGGTCCAGGGGGAATTGTCGTTATGCATACTTTCTATATAATAGTGTGCAGGTACTGTGTGTTGCTTGTAAGGCAATTACCTAGGAACTTTTTTGTTACAGCAGTCGTCGTAGTAGCAGCAGCAATAGTTGAAGTCCTAGATCATGACAAAAAACCTACGGAACATTTCGAAAATACAAAAATGTGCACACTTGACAACTTTTCTTTGCCACAATCTCTAATGTTTTGACAACAATACGATGACGGCGAAGATATCCAGCACAAAATACAAACATGTTAGTGGAAAATTCTTCAATCGAGTTTGTCAAACAATCACTTAGTAGGTACGATGAATGAAAGGCGTACTTAATCAGTGTGTTATCTGTTATTTCACTACTTATTACTTAATGCTATTTTTATAGTCCGGCCCATCAAACTATCACATTCAACACGTAAATGCTTTTTAAATTAAATAGTGCCTTATTATTATTACATTCAAAATATGTATATATCACTAATAACTAACTAACTTAAATTAAACTTAAAACTAACGTAACTTCAATTAAATAGGTGAGGTTAATAGAGTTGGGTAAATCCGATAGCGGATATATGAGTAAGGCCATAAAGCGAAGTTTTCATGGGGCATGTGAGCTTCGACCGATATTTAGATCTGTTTATTGTTAAGGGCCTGTTTCAATAATTGAGGAGCAGGTGAACAAAATAGTATAATTACATAAAATTAAATTTTGACAACATAACATACCTCCAGTGAGCTTTTGGAATGGTTTTTAATTTATAAATTTAGCAATTTTTACACTGTTTTAGGCGGTTTTGATTGAAAATTATTTAAGATTCAAATTCAACGGGGCCGATACCTCCGGACTGTAAAAAAAGGAGTTCGACCAGACGCGTAATTATACCGTTTTGTTCGCCAGCTCCTCAATTAACCTTTAGTAAAAGGTAAAGGATAATCTAGCTCTGTTACTTAACAACAGTTGTTATTATAGTCTTAATAATAAAAATATCTTGGCAACAAAGCTCTAGTACTTAGGTCTGAATCATGATTCTTTACGGAGTCGCCGCAATTAAATGCGTTGTTTTGTGAGCTGATGCGCACAATTCAATAAAATATAATATGATGATACATTTGTTTGTATGTAATTGCCTCTCACTAATAGAGGTTTCACATAGCGAATTTCCCGATAAAATTGGAGCATCCGTTTGGGGAAGTACTTACTCGTAATCCTATTCTCCACTTTAAAGAAGGCGAAAATACATAACACCACCTTTTGGTGGTGGGGTTTTCCTGTAGGTGAGCAGCAGGGGAAAAGTCAAGGGGTCTAGTCTCTTTCTCCGAAACGAAATTTCGGTACAAAAGATCAAACAAAATTTAGGCTCGTAAATTTAAGGTTACGTTTATTTAATTTGTAGGATAAACTATCAAATTCAATGTTGCTTTGAGAAGAATCTTTTTTCGGGCGAACGAATATTATTTTAATTAGAAACGGAAAAGAAATATACATAGTTAGAAAAGTGCGATGTTTCGCTCATTTCGATTTTTTGATTGAATTAGAGTTGACCTCCAGGATTGTCGACACAGCGCAAGTGATACTTTTGTATTACAGGATATATTACGCGAGCGTTTATATTACAGACGGACCAGCTTGTGTGCAACACAATACTTTTTAGGTACTTAAAAATATCCTAGATCTTGAGACCATGTGGTCCAAGTGCTCGTTCCTTATTTAAGGATTTATCAAAAAGACTCACCGAAGCGACTGGTGACCAAAAGGCTGGCAGCTATCTTGGTCAACGGATCAGCCTTGCCATTCAACGTGGCAATGCTACCAGCCTATTGGGCACCATTCCTGACGGCGGCGCTGGGGGTGATTTATTTTTCATTTTTTAAATTAGATATTATTTATAAGTAGGTTAAGGTAATTTGTATTTAAATTTTATACATTAGGTATTTTTTAAGTTGTTGTTTCTGTATTTCTATATGTTGTAATTTTGTAAATAAAATCCTAGATCTTATTTGAATTCATGACATGATCATGTTTCGGAAAGGATTTTTTTTTTATTCTCTGCTTTATTTTTTGATCACCCCTATCCGTATCAAGTAGATAAGTAGTCAGATTTCATTAAATGAGCAACCTATAGCTTTGGTCTTCTCTTTCAATTTGATTAAAATATTTAACAAACATCGTTCGTTAGCAAAGTAATTAAATTAAGTTAACTTATAAGGACACACAATTAGCATTCATTCGAATACGAGAAAGACACGTTTCAAATTAAACGCTTTGTGAATTCAACTATGTATATAATTAACAAGATTAGATTTAAAAGTAAATGTACCTATTACTTGCAGTTCGGGTACAGTAAATTCCTCAATTGAAATTAGTAATTGGGTGAAGTACTTTGTGCGTACTATGTTCATTTAATAGTGGTAAATAATGGAAACAAAAATCGGATTATACTCAATACTAATAATATTATAAAAGCGAAAGTGCGTCTATCTGTTTGTGACTTCTTCCGCTTAATTTGCTGAACCGACTTAGATAAAGTGGATATAAGATAGCTTTTATCTCAGAAAATATCCTTTAAGGTGGAAAATTTATTGGAAAACCATTTTTTCCTCGCAGAAGAAATCGCGGAAACCCGCTAGTAAGATATAGGTAAATGGAGAAATGTTCTTTCATTGTTTTTGTCTGGAAATATTAGTGTGGGATTTTAGAATTTGTGCTTATATGCTGTCAATTTTTTTTTATGATTATATTATTTCGTAAGTGAGCAACTTCCACTTAATTACCATGCGTTCGCTCCATGACATAGCGACTGCGTGGTCTCTTACATAGTACATGATAATATAGTTTATCGTGTTGTTGATAACTGGTTCATTTATTTCCATTGGTTGTTGTGAGGGCGTGCGTCGCCGGCCTTTATATATATAAACTATTACAAACCTCCCTGTGTAGCATTTTGTGCTCGTGCGCAGCGCGTGACGCGTCACTGCGCTTTCAAGTCCTCTAGATCATTTTCCACGCTATCCACTTACGATTCATTATAAACAACAGGATAACGTTCTCATATTCATTTATTACTATAAGGTATTTTATATTTTTTTTATAATTATTGTCGTTTTCGCATCGATATTCGTAAGCTTTGTATTTTTGTATTGTTTTAGGAAGTAAACAAACATTTTTTTAAAATGGCCTATCTTCAATCCATGCCTAAATCTGAAACAATCAAGCTTCGTGAAAAACATATTGGGTTGGTATATTTTTTTTCAATTACATTTTTTTTATCTTATACTTGGGTGTATTATTAATTGAGATTTATCTTCCAGTGCCGCTTGCCAAATGTTTTTCCGATCGAATCCCTTGAAAATTGTAAGGGGTATCGCACAATTCATGTACGATGAATCTGGCGAGAGGTACCTTGACTGCATTAATAATGTTGCACATGGTAAGTTAAGCTCTTTTGGATATTTTTTTTACTTTGTAACCTTAGAGTCAATCGAGGGACAGTGTAACAAGGGTCAAAGTGTAACATAAGGAATCTCTTTGCCATTTTCTCATTTGGCAGTGGTCTGTCTTGATGTGTTATTTTATTAGTTTCATATGCCGCCATCACTAGCAGCTTTTATCGGATGTGAATGGCCTGGTATAGTACAGAGATAATCCTTATGTTACACTATGCCCCTTGTTACACTGCCCCGCACTCAACACTATAAGTATATTAATAATAACATACCACTATCGTCTAATATAGGGAGGCTATGCTAGCTAGACTCACGGTTACAGAAACTGAACTTAACTTTCCCGGAATTAATTCTACAGTATAAACTTTTACGTGATACTTATAATGCATTGTTTGTTCCAACAGTTGGCCATTGTCATCCGCACGTAGTGGAAGCGGGCCGTAATCAAATGTCATTAATATCGACTAACAATCGATACTTGCACGATGACATGGTGATCCTCGCCAAAAGGCTGGTGAAGACCATGCCTGAACCTCTGTCTGTGTGCTTCTTTGTCAACTCGGGCTCTGAGGCCAATGACCTCGCGTTAAGGCTCGCACGGATTCACACTAAACGAAAGGACGTCATCACACTTGACCAGTAAGTATTATACAGAGTGCCAGATGAATGTCATTTTTATAAAAGCTAATGTATGCCTGTAAGAAACGAATGGTTATTTTTAAGATTTTCATTTGTGTGGTTGATTGGATGACAAAATTCGTTGGTACCTTATCTGCACAATATTGTTGAATGTTCCAACATTTATCACTGACATATGACAAGAAAGTTTAAAAACACAATATTGCAACATGCAATTATAAAACTTTAGGTGTATATTGCTGTAATTAGGATTTTTTATGATTGTGAATAAAAGTTTTCTGAATTCTTAACGAAACTCAGCCAAAAAAAAGCAGGAAATGAATTCATCAAATAAATTTTAAATTCGGCTTGAAGCAGTGTCGTCTTTCATGAAAGCTCGTCGTTTTATACGGTGACCATGCAGTAGCTACAAATTATATCTATACCTAAAAAGCATAACACAAAAGCAAATGATTTATTACCTATATCCGAAAATTTGCATAATATTAAGCATTTGTAAATCTGGAAAGTTCGTCGTATAAATGCTGGAAATTGCTTTAAGGTCTAAAGTAGAGATATTATTTGACAAACTTTGGTTCAGAATATCGTTTGTACATATTTTTGTTCTGTAGTACTTAAGTATCTATCAGGATTTCTGCTGGAATCGCTGTCAGATATCCGTGGTATAGTGTATGTATGCCAACTACAACTTCAAGCAAGGTGCCACCCAATCTGAAATCCTGGGTTCAAATCCCGGTAGGGGCAATAATGAATACCTACTAGCATTTGTACCCGAGTCGTGGTTGTTTGTATTATATAGGTAAGTATATCAATATATGCACAAAATGTATTTCTATCCGTTACCATAGAACCCTATAACACAAGCCTTGCAGTGTTTACTTTGGGGCTAATCCTATTGGTGTGAGTGAAAGAAATATTTATATTTATCTATTTATAAAAATACCACTTTCATCGTACTGCAGAAGTCATATTAAAATTGTTAAAACCTCACTGGTCAAACTACAAGAACATTCTTTTCCTATTTTCGTCTCCGAACTTCCTGTTTTATGGGGGCACTACATTTAGAGGAAGCCAACGAATTTGTAGCGTGAGTGTTTGTAATCCGATGGAATTGTTTGTCGTTACTTCGCTGGTCGAAGTGTTTTTTGGGGTGCTCTAGCGCCTGTTTGTTCCAGCGCGTATCACGGCCACCTTACTTCTATGATTGAAGTATCGCCGTACAAACTGAACCTCCCCGGTGGGCCGGAGAAGCCGGAATGGGTTCACGTGGTAAGTTCGTCATGTATTTGATGAACTCGATTTTGAGAAATCTTGAATATATATCTAGCTATCGCTTGTTATTTAGGAGTCTAGCCATTTATTAGTTCTAAACAAATATATTTCAATTTTAGTTTGTATGTCATTAGGTAAAGTCTATAATAGATAATGTGTGCTATTTACACAGTTGCATTATGTAATGCGTTCAAAGATCCAAATTTACATATAATGCGATTCAAATAAGAATAGGAAAGCCAATGACCTCCATCTGTCAAATGTCGCTTGAAAAGTACAGTTTGCAAAAAAATGTTGGAACATTTTTTTAGCACTCAGGTAATTCTAGAATAAAAATCAAACATTTTTAAACAAATAATCATAATTAATATTGGTTGATATTTTTTTTCATTTATTGAGCTTTGGCTATGAATGGTTGATAACCTGAATAGTCAACCAAATGTCACTTTATGTTGCGTTCAGAAACTCGATTTAAAACTTTCGTTTACATATAGGATGCATGTTCGTATGTGACCTGCATGATTATTCATAACTACTCCGGCGGTAATGCAGAGAATTAATGTTTTTTCTCACACAGTCTTAATAAAGAAATATTATTAAAAATCGGTTGTTTTTTCTCTCAATCTTAGTTAATTAATTTTATTAAAAAATCTGATATATTTTCTCACTTAATCTAAGTAAATAAGTTTTATTAAATAGACACTTTTATTTTGCTCACTCTACCTATTTGGTTTGAATTGACAGCTATGACGTCAAAATATGGCGCCCAGTCGGTCCTATTCTCAGTTTAGTCGCATTATAGTTACTTAATTAAACATTGGAAATGTAAGATAATTATTTATGCTTCTTAATATCTATTTTTAAATTGTTTGAAATCATATTCACTATATTAAGAAGACTAAAGTTGAGAAAAAAAATTAAATTAACATCATCAGTGCAGGTAGGTAGATATTGATGTTTTTTAAGTGCGCAAATTGTACATAACAATTATATCATTCGACAGGCACCAGTTCCAGATGTGTACAGGGGGAAGTACACTTATCCAATGGATTCTAAATCCGAGAGGGAATTGGGGAGAATGTACGCCGACGAAGTGGGCAAGCTGTGCAGGCTAGCTCAGAGCAATGGTGGCGGTGTGTGCGCATTCATAGCGGAGAGCTTACAGAGCTGCGGTGGGCAAATCATCCCACCTGAAAGCTACCTGAAGAATACCTATAAGTAAGTATTTATTATTAACTATCTAGTGCCAGCCCATATTAGTTGGTACGATATTGCTGTAGTTGTTTACTTATATATCTGCCTTGTAATTGACACGGCAGACATCATTATCATCGACTGCTGGGACACAGAACTTTCAGGCTTACTTACGTAGGTTAGACCACGTGGTCCCAGAAGGGAGCGGACTATAGATGCAGCTGGGCCCAACTTCTTAACACGTCTTCCGAAGTACGGAGGAACTCAAGATATTTCTATTAGCAATTTTAGCTATTGGGTCGAATCTTGAAGGTCCAGTGGGTACAAGACCGTAATTTTTTTATCATCCGTTGTATGACCGATCATTGCAAAAGTTGCTTGCTGTAAAAGTGGGGGACACTGTAGCGGGGGGGGGGGGGGGGGTACATAAGAAATATCTCTGCCCTTGTATTATTTGTCTATGATCTGTCTTGACGTGGTTTTATTAGTTTCAATGTTGCCTATCCATCTATCCATCCAGCATCTGTCGTCAGACGTCCAATGGCCGGGTACCTGTAACACAGAGATATTTCTACACTGTCCCCCTCTAGACCCTAGGGTTTCTATTTACTTAGATGCTGGGGTTTCATTAAGCAATGATTAGGGAATCAATTAAGATAACATATTTGTGGAAATGTAGTCTTTTAATAATGCATTTGTGGAGACGTCCTCTGATGATCAAAATAAAATTTTATGTTTGTGATTATAGAGGTCAAAATCATATAACCATCCTTTTAACTTCGACGCTGTAGTCAGGTAAAAATGTCTTTTACGTGAGCTTGGATTTAATATTGACTTGACTTCCAAACGACGTGGGTAGCAAAAACGTTTATTTACTTTATAATATGATTATTCAATTTATATGATAAGTATGAATGTCAATATTTAAAGTACTTATAAGTTTTTATTGAGACATTATTAAATTCATATACTAAATAAAAAAGTACTGAACTGATATGGGTTAAATTTGGTACGCATATAGTTTACGATATGGATTGAGACGTACGATATTTGTGTCCCTAAAAAAATTTAGGTTCCTGTGGGATTCTCAGAAAACCAAAATTAACGCGGACGAAGTTGTGGGTAGCCTCTAGTAATACAATAATTGTCAAACTGATAGCAACCCATAGGAGCACACACAGTGATCATCACGTGTGCACGTGACGCCCAAATGATATAACAGGCACATTACGCAAAGTACCGATGTAGGTTAAACACCAACAATATATCATAAATTCTGATAACTGACGTATGATAGGTAGCTATAATTATAATTTGTTAAGGTAACGCACGATAAGTAAAAGATATGACATATTTAGGATTCCGTACCTCAAAAAGAGAAACAAACCCGGTCAAGTCCGAGTCGGACTAGCGCACGAAGGGTTCCGTTATCTATTCAAAATTAGACACTATATTATAATATCGAGCAAAAAACGACAAGAAAAATTAGGGCTGTTGTATGGGAGACAATCTAAAATATTAATTTTGTTTTAATTTGATTATTTATTTTTAAAGTGAATATTCAACTAACTATTGTTAAAATTTCAAGAGTATGTGTTGCCGTTATTAATATAAAACAAAAAACGGCAAAAACCACGTTTTTTGTATGGGTCCGACCTTTAAATATTTATTTTACTATATTTTTAGTATTTGTTGTTGTTGTCGCTATAAAGCGACAATAGAAATACATCATCCGTGAAGATTTCAAGTTTATAGCTATCACGGTTTGTGCGATACAGCCTGGTGTCAGACAGACAGACGGATAAGATGGAGTCTTAGTAATAGGATCCCGTTTTTACCTTTTGGGTACGGAAGCCTAAAAACATCATTAGATTTAATTTAAGCAGTTTAATGTTTATAAAATGCCTTTGTAAAAATTTGTTATTCACGCATGGGCTTATACGAGAAGATATACCTAAGTACTGTAGGGTTTTCCCGAAGGGAGAACCTGGGGAACGTAGCTCAATATACTCCCAAATTTACACAAGCAAGGAGGCTGTAACGCCACGGGCGTTACAGTACCTACTTTTTATGTCGTTTATTGAATAGGAGAAATAGAAACAGCGTACCTATATTATTTATAAGGTACCGTTCTGTAAATTAATATAATTTGCGTTTGTATGCGACCTTTTGACTCGCACCCAACGTTAACGTTAATGGAAATGTTTTGCGTTTAAATATTGACTCAACAAATAAATGTAGATTGATGGCTTAAGGTGTTTGCAACTTTATTAGTTGTAAGAGTACCTACTTCTTCTGGATGCAAACAAATATTTACGCTACTAATTGTATCTGATATTTTAAAATAAAATTTAGCTCTATATTAAATGGGCATGTATGCAAATGAAAACAAAAGATGTTTATTTTAATTATGTAATTATAAATTATAATTACTTAAACATAACGAAGTCAACACTTTCGAGTATTGCAAAACTTATTCGAATCTTTATATAAATAAAAAAAAAATTGATAAGCGCAACTCCAGAATGGCTGGTGTAATTTGGACGTATTTTTTTCATAATATTAAAAAAAACAAATTACTCCAGCCGTAACATAAAATTTTCCTTAACACACATGGAAGGTTTTATGCAGTGAACAAACATAAAAATTGAAGGGAAAATAATTTGAATGTTTCTTACACAATCACGCAAAAACCTGGATTGAGGCATAGAATACTTTTTATCCCAGAATATATTAGTTTCCTGAGGGATCCTCAGCAAACTAAAGCTAACGCGAGCGAAGTCGCAGGCGGCCGCTAGTTTAAAATCAATGTACTTACATAAGTTTTTTATGAGTATTGCATCATTATATTTATACTTTGTACTTACTTAAAATTATGTTTTAATTCAACATTCATTAATCACCCACTGCGTATCTACATACTTACCTTAATGTCATAATATTTCTCTTGCATGACATCAAAGGAACTACCAATTTATTTTACTGTCAAAAAGTTAGTTAATTAAGCTTATAACAATCAGACAAAGGTACCTAATCATATTGCATATTTATTACAGACACGTCCGCGAAGCCGGTGGTGTCTGCATCGCTGATGAGGTGCAAGTGGGATTCGGCCGAGTGGGCACCCACATGTGGGCGTTTGAGACCCAGCACGTCATCCCGGACATCGTGACGGTGGGCAAGCCCATGGGCAACGGTCATCCGGTCGCGGCCGTCATCACCACGCCGGAGATAGCCAAGAGCTTTGCCGACACAGGAGTGGAGTACTTCAACACGGTAATTATAATACTCTTCGAACAACGCATAACAACTATTTAATCTTAAACTAAGTAATCTTCGAACTGTGGAAACTAAATGACGTATTGTCATATTATATGTAATAAGACCATGACCCGGGAACAAATTTTTACGCTGATCTCACAAATAAATGCCCCCATCGGAATTCCGATCCAGGTCCTTTGGTAGGAGTGCTGCAGTTGAACATATTTGCTGTTATCACATTTTATATTGGTTCTGACAGAAATGTTGACGTCGTCGTAGTGACCGATCGCCAGTTTTTACTAATAAGATTTTACACATTTTTCCCCTATTTTACTAATATCTAGGAAAGTTAGCAACAACTAGATCTAAATTATCCCTCCATTCTCTCCGTCTGGTATAGGAAAAAAATAATAACCGCTTTGAATTGTCTACCCAGTACGGAGGGAACCCGGTATCCTGCGCTATTGCCAACGCTGTCCTTGACGTGATAGAAGAGGAGCGCCTTATGGAGCGGGCCTTCAGGGTTGGGAACCACCTGTTGAACCGATGCGAAGGTCTGAAGCACCGGCACTCGTTGGTTGGTGACGTGCGAGGCAGAGGGCTGTTCGTTGGCGTAGAACTGGTCACCGACAGGGAGACCAGGACACCGGCCACTGCTGAAGCCAAACATGTTATAAATAGGTAAGTTTTTATTCCATAATGATAAGCGGATCATAAGGAACAGCACCTCAAGGAGCGCGAGTTTAGGGTTGGAAACCACCTGTTGAACCTATGCGAAGGTCTGAAGCACCGGCAGTCGCTGGCTGGTGACATGTGAGGCAGAGGGTTGCTCGTTGGCGTAGAACTGGTCACTGACAGGGAGACCAAGATACTGGCCACTGCTGAAGCCAACATGTTTTAAGGTTCTTGTTATGATCGAAAGTAACTAAAGAACAGATAAAACACGACTGAAGTTACTTTATAGTTTTGATAGGCAGCTCAGTAACTAATGCATGATTCTGAGCTAGGCAGAGCCATCACTTTCTAAATGCAAAAAAATGCCTTGTAAAAAACAACCGAGCAATTCGATTCGCAAAAGTTAAACTCGTTACATAAGAATTGAGTAGGGTCATACCTAGATGGTCACCAACAAATAAGTTAATTGTCTCATATTTTTAGTTTGTCGATAAAAAAATCTTATTATAGCTATGATGATACATCTTATGAAATAATATTTATGATAAACCTTGTTTTTAAATAGCTTATCTATTTGTTTCTCTAAGGATATTGACCTCTTGGTAAAAATATTACGATGATTTCACAATAACAGTAATCTTATCGCACTGAACAGAATTTAAATCTATGCTTAATTAAGACATGGACACTGGATTTTTTTCTTAAAAATGATAGTGTTTGTAATGTTATTTACGCATTTAAAACTCACTAGCAGTTCGAGTGAAGAAAATACATAATATATTGAAGGAAAGCGTAATTTTTTTTACAGGAATTTCCCATAGCGTTTCTTTATTTTGCGAAACGAGAATGCATATTTTAACACTATCGTTAATTAATAATTACCCAACACTCGTTATTTTCTTTATAGTTGCAATATAATTTGATAATCATTTTTTATTTTTTTATATAGTGAAATTCGTAGTGCGAACAGAAAAAGAGTGCAATTTTATTCCCGGTGTTCAACTATATTTTAATATCGTTGCCTGCGTTATAACTACAATACTCTGAGGGCTGCGTCCTTCATATCAATCTAAGATAATGTAGCTTTGCTTATTGCATTGCAAATCAGATACTGGACGTGACAGTAAAGTTTTTGTTCATTTTCCAGAATGCGCGAAGAGAAGATCCTAATCAGTAGAGACGGGCCTGACAGCAATGTGCTGAAGTTCAAACCGCCCATGGTGTTCGGCATACAGGATGCAGACCGGCTTGTCGACACCTTGGACCGCGTGCTTGCTGAACTAGATGGCGCTAGAATCTCCAAAATCACTCTTGAGGTAAGAATCAACCTAGGATAAATTCTATGTGAATTGTCAATATAAGCACGTGGTTGATTGGAACTAGGAGCTCGATCACAGAACATAGAAAGAGGTTCGAACGGTGATTAAAGACCGTTCGTACGGTAACCAATGTCGCCGGCTCGCCCCCACTACACATCCACCTAATAGATAATAGCTAATCAAAGGATGCGACATAGAACAATCGAACCAATCAACGCTCACACCCTAAAGCAAGGACGCAATCATAACCAACTTTTGGTCAAGTTATGAGCATTTGCTTACACATAGCTGTGGCGCGCCTGCACCTCCCACAAGACCCTTCTAACCTCTCTCTGTGTTCTGTGAGCTTGATGGCGCAAGTGCGGCTGCGATCATTAAAGTTAAGCAACTCTCGCAGTGGTCGATAATTGGATGGGTGGTCAAAATTTTAATATCTCAAGCTCGTGCTTCGGAAGGTACGTTTGTCCCGGCTACATCTGCAGTCGTTAACACCCACCAATACGCACTGGGCCCGCGTGGTGGGTCGTGACCCAGTCTCCCTATTCCATCCATAGGGAAAGCCTGTGCCCCAGCAGTGAGGACATTAATAGGATGATGATAATGATGATGGTGGTGGTTATGAAATAGACAAATTTGTTGAAGTGTCGGTTTGTAAAATTCGCAATATTTTATTATTTTTCAGATAGAATCTGGAATTTTACATTAGAAATGCTTAATTAATTCTTCTAAATATATAAACACTAGCTGTGCCCTGCGGTGTTACCCGCAGTTAATTATATTTTCCCGCAGTACAACGTAGCCTATGTGTTAATTCAGGGTGTTAGCTAAGTCCATACCAAATTTTATTAAAATCGCTCCAGACGTGAAGAAGTAAGAAACATACACACTTACACACTTTCGCCTTTATAATATTTAATTAAAATTAATTAAATAATTTTAAATATTTCTTTTTCAGGTGCGAGTGACTCCAATCGACGACGCATCAAGTAAGGATACGTTGCGAAGTAACTCTAAGCAAGCATTAAAAGCTATATGATGATATTTTTTTAATTAAGTACGAACAATAAATTATAAGTTATTTTGTTGATGTGTAACATCTTTCCTCTCGCTTTCCTGCAATTTGTGGGTGATTTCGTGAAATGGGACGGAAGTGTGTAACAGGAAGTCGCGAAAGCGCGCGCTATTTGATTTGATTTTAGAACATAATGTTCAAATGGCTTATTCCTTGTGTAGTAGGTTTAATTTCTTTTTTTACTAATATAAGGTGAGATTTCAAATGTTACACATCATACGCGACTACTGTAAGGCTCGCTCGTTTTTTTTTTATAGAAAACAATACACATTGTTAACCGCCTAAAATTTTACAGGTTGGTAAAGCTACCAATTTACTTAGTTTTCTTTTAAAGTACAAAGATCACTGTCATAATTAAATAAAAAATATATTCACAGATAAAAAACACGATCGATAACTGATACCCAAAGTTATTATAAACTTCTGAATAACATAAAGTATGATCTTATAGTCATGCAGATTTCTCCGCGAGGGATTGACGACATAAAAACAATGGTGTGGTCACTCTCAGAGACGTCAATATTAAGTTTGATTAATATTGAGTTACCTTTCTTTGCGGTTGTAATTGAAAAAGCATTGAAATGAATTAAAAATAATCAAATCTCTCTGATCACATTAAATAATTGAGTATTATCATGAGAAAATGATTTTAAAAGAAAATTAAATTAGGATTTATATGAGAAATAAGTAAAGATAATTTGTATATACTAGTTAATATTAGATATTATGTACAAGTGGCGTAAAGTTATTTATATTTAAAATATTTGGTACAAAATACCTCTTAACTTCTCCAATACCTACTAACTTCATCTTCACGTAAAAAAAAGGGAATAATTTATTTTATCATACAAAATGACGCTGTTGAAATTAACTTATATCTTTTATGTATTTATTTAAATATTACGTATGTGTTTAAAATAAGATTTTAATTAAGTTTCATTCCTTGTTAATAACTTTGTGTGAATGTGTACCTGCGGATCTCGAGATGAAATAAAAGATATATTTTTTTAAAGTATATGGTTTTTATTAAGTAAAAAAATCTTTTTAATGTTATTATTCATAGAATTGTCAAAAACATACTTATTCTTAAATTAAAAATACCTACGCAATTTATTAATTTGTGTCTAAAATACAATAATAAGTGATAGGAAGAAAGAAAGAATATAGGACAATATTTAAATCGGAAAAAAGTATTAGAACTTAGTATTTGCAAGCCTATTAATAAATATATTATGAGGTCATTGTTGAGTATTAATTAATATATTTGATTAAAATATAATTGAAAAAAACATTTATCACAAATATATATTATTCTAAATAAAGCTTACTTTTTTGTGTAATAGAAAAAGCGCACATGTCTTAATACTTATAAACAAAATAAAGTAAAATTTATACAAATTATTCGTTCTTTGTATCAAATTCTGCATATTCAAATATTTTTTGCCAATTGTCAAGAGTCACCAACTCATTGTGAATCGTGTTTGGTTTTGCTAGTTGCATCAATGTTTTTTTGACTTTTTGGGTTATTTGATAAACTCTTGAATCTGGACTGAAAGGGCACAGTCTGAAGCTGGCCGTATGTCCCCCGCCGCAGTTCACACACTTCGGTGGTTGCGTCACACGATCCAGGGTACAATTTTTTGACAAATGGTCTCCTGCGCACTTCACACATTTTACTTCACCACGACAAAAACGTTGGCTGTGACCCCATCTTTGACAGCGGTGACATTGCTTGGATTTCGACAATGGTGGTTCTATTGTTACCTGCCGGCCGAAGATACTTTTTATCTTGAAAAATTTAGTCGCTTGTGTCTTAAGAGGTAGCACGGCCAGTATGTACGATTTCTCCTTTCCAGCTTCCTTTAAATGCATTTTATGAACTCTTTTAACCGGTATCGAGGCCGCTCTAAATGCTGATTTCAATGCCACTATATTCACATTATTAGGAAGACCCCTTAATACCACTTTTATAAATGCCTTCGCCGGATGACTAAATGTGTGATAAGGTAAATCATTCTTGTCAAAATATTTAATTAATAATTTATGATCTTCATTTGTATCACACATAATTTTGGCATTGTCTTTTTTGAACTTCGGAAAATAAAATTTGATTCCTAAAGACAGAACTTTTGTCATATGAGCAGGGAAATCTGTCGGTCTGTGCAAAAATATTGCTGGCACTTTCTGTTTCTTTATACGAGGCCATTTAGAAAATACGTCCGAATCTATTTTATCATAAAAAGCTATAGCTGATGCGAGTGCTTCAGGTTTTACTGAAATTTTGCATTTATTTATATCGTCAATTAAAATGTCCACTTGCAATGGGGCATCTGCTTGCGGCTCGTTACTTCCAGAAGATCCTGGAAATGAAATTGACGTGCTTGGTGTTGCAATGATTTCACAGCTATCCACTTGAAAAGTAATTTTTCCATCCTCTGTGGTATCTTGAGAAGAGGTTGAAGGGAGAGGTAACAAAGGGCGAGCTGCTTGATTTGTATCGTTGTCGTTCTGATCAGCAGGACTTTTACTTACGCCATTATGTTTTTTTGTTTGTCTATCGTGATGTTTCGAAGCCTGAAAGATTACGGTTTCATTAATATTTTTTAAATGAGTAAGTGTCGGTTACGTCGTATTTCAATGTTACGATTACGATTAGTGACGGAGTTTTCAAATATTATTCTTTTACACATTTTCAATATCAATAAATCGGAAAAACTCACCTTTTTCCCTTTGTTCTTAGTCATTATGGTTTTAATGTTATTTTTTAAGTGTAGACCACCAACCGAATAATAATATAATCGCTAACTGTATTCATCTTTATGTTCTATTCTGCATATTTTGTACTACCTTCAGAAAATATGATAATTGATGTCATTTTACTAATGGTGGCCATACACTGCCTATCGTCGAATCAGCATGTCGCTGCAGGCTTTAACCAATCTGCAGTTCGCCCATATACACTACACTCGACCAGTTTTAATTGTCCAATCGGCAGTAACGTTCAGTACAAATCATGGCGTCACCAGTGACGGATTTGTTAGCCGTCTTGGACATGTAACTCATGATAAAGAAACAAGAAAAAATTGTCTAAGTGCCAGTCGAACTCCCGCACGAAGAGTTCCGTACCATTATTTATACATATATACAACGTCAGACACTATATTACTATATCGAACAAAAAACGGCAAAAATCACGTCTTTTGTATGGGAGCCCCTCTTAATTTTTCTTATTTAAATATAATTATTTATTTATAAAGTGAATATGCAACTACATATTCTATGAATATTTCATGCATCTACCTGTTGTCATAAAATGGCCCAAAAATTACGTTTGTTGTATAGGTCCCTTAAATATTTATTTTATTCAGTATTAGTATTTGTTGTTATAGCAGTCACAGAAATATTGTTTTAAAAAAAATAACTGTCTAGATATTATGGATCATAACATACAGCCTGGTGACAGACAGACAGACATCCAGACGTCCAGAGTCTTAGTAATAGGGTCCCGTTTTTACCCTTTAGGTACAGAACCCTAAAAAGAAAGCTCGTGTGGATTTGTGCAAACATTGGTTAATGAAAAGGAATCAGTTTTCTCATACAAATTTCAATTCACAGACTAGACTCAACTGAAATCGATCGCGCGATTGCCATACACGGTTCAATCAGCATGATCAAACCTCAAACCCGGTGACGCTGTAAAGGTCATCTGCGACCAACAGCATACACACTCAAAAAAAAAGAAATGACCAAACCAAAAGAAGTGAATTTTGATTGGTCCGTCAAATTTAACCACGGAACACAGAAACCTCACACACAGTTATTCCTCTATCTGTCAGTTCCACTTGATCAAAGTGGCAGTATCATGCCGATTGGATGATGGATTTGATCGTGTATGGCCACCATAATACATACCCTTGTTGAGTTTACTCATAGACGTATCATTGACTAAATAATTCACTACCCACTTACGGGTATTTGTAATAAATCGAATAATAATAATTAAATAACAAATATTAGAAATTCTTATTTGATTTTAAAAACTTATACACTCCGCAGTAGGTTTAATTATGTATATTAAATTTACAAATACCAGAGCGGAAGAATGATGTATTTTCCGAAAAAGTAGAATATTGTTGCAATTCAACGAAATATGATAAGGTAACAAAGGCTATATATAAAATAAATACATTATACTGGTAGGTACAGATTAGATATCAGTATTTTTATTATAACTAAAAGCAAATTTCTTTAAATAAGAAAATAGATAACTATAAATTATTGGTCTAAGAATTAACATGCTTCATTATTATTTAAGAAGAAAATTTTGTTAGAGAAAATTCCACTTTACCTAAAATAAAATATCTTTTTATTCTTTGATGTATTTGATTAAGGGGTAAATAAATGGAGTTTTATTCTTTGTGGTCTATATTAAAGTAGATGTTATAAATGAAAGAAGATGCTTTGTGACCGAAACTCTTTGTGATATCTTAACAGGACCTTAAAACCTTTCTGCTCCCAATATCAGTGAAGCTTTACAACTGTCCTCTGATGAAGAGCAGCCTTTGAAATCGCTTTTAACATTGAATAGAACAAGTTTACTGCACAGTCATAAAACACACACAATACACTCGTCGATGAGATACCGTTGTTAACTGGGTGCTCATTGTAAAATGAACTATAATCAGAAGGAAACTGCGCACAATGTCATGTAGGAAGGAAGTATAAAATAAATAGTACAATGAAATTTAAATTTTAGCGCTTATAATATTTTGTTTCGAATATATTTATATATATATTTATATATAGTACCTAGGTAACACTGAAAATGTTTATTTAGAAAATGAAAAACGGCTTAATGGAGAAAGTTGCCAATACTTTCATTGTTTTTCAAAGTAATCTCCGTTCCTCTCTACACATAGTCGCATTCGATGGAACCACTGAGAAAAGCAGTGGGCCCATTCTTCCTAAGAGGTCTCTTCTGTGGCATTTTCGTACGCTTTCACCGCATCTTCAGGGCTCGTAAAAAGAATTTTATCTTTAGTTTTTGGGAATAAATGAAAGCCGCAGGGCGCCAGATCAGGACTGTATGGCGGATGACTCATTATCACAACACCTGCCATATATTCAACAGTCTGTTTTGCGGAGTGCGCTGGAGCATTGTCGTGGTAAAGGAGGATCCTGCTTAGGGGGCGCTGCTGTCGATTTTTTTCCCAGACAACAGGCAAACAACGATTGACATACCAGTCTGCAGTAACGGTCCTTCCATCTTCTAGCACAACTGTCGCGAAATGACCTTTCCGACCAAAGAATGAGGCAAGCATCTTTTTTCCTTGACTTCTTCCTTTCTTTACCTTAGTTGGCCGATCCTCGAAAGGAAACACCCACTGAGCTGATTGTATTTTTGGTTTCGGGTTCGTAGCAACATATCCAGCTGAGTCACCGCCGTTGAACTTATCTAACATTTGGCGACACCAGTCCATGCGAAGGTGTTTCTGGCCGTCGATTAAAGTATGGGGAATCCATCTGGTACAAAGCTTCCTGAAGCCTAAATGATCGTGTAATATTTTTGAACTTGACTCATTGGTAAGAGTCAAGTTCAAAAATATTACACGAGGCCTAGGCTTGCCCGTATCTGCTGATAGGTCACTCTCATATCTTCCTCTATCATGCGTCGCACATCACTGATGTTATCTTCA